ATATTCTTTCACAAAAATGGTGTCCAGGTTACCGATGGGGAAGGCTCCCCTCTACAGTCCTGACAGTTACCTTACACAATGAATACCGCTTGTATAAAGGTGTAGAAGACCAACGTACAGGCTTAACGGATATGGCTCCGTGGCTGGAAGAGTTTCCCCAAGCCTGGGCAGAAACTGGAGGAATTGGATTGGCAAAACACCAACCGCCCATTATTGTGGACTTAAAACCCTCGGCCATTAGAGTCTGACACTTGGCACTAGCTCGATATCCCAGCTCTCCCAGACTTCGCCGACAGTATCCCATGCCCAGGGAAGCCCGGGAAGGCATACAACCCCATATCCAGCGGCTGTTATGGGAAGGGGTATTAAAGAGGTGCCGGTCTGCATGGAATACACCTTTCCTCCCAGTAAAGAAACCAGGGGAGAGTACCGACCAGTGCAGGATCTGAGAGAGGTAAATCGCTGAGTTGAAGACATACATCCCACAGTCCCTAACCCTTACACGCTGCTAGCAATCTTCCTCCAGATCATGTGTGGTATACTACCCTGGACTTGAAGGATGCTTTCTTTAGCCTACCCTTAGCCCCACAGAGTCAAGACATTTTTGCCTTTGAATGGTTTGACGAAATGGATAAAGTCCTCGGCCAGCTGACCTGGACAAGGTTGGTCCAAGGGTTCAAGCACTCACCCACTTTGTTCAACAACACCTTGAGTGACGACTTACATGAGTACCAGGGTCAAAACCCACAAGTAACTTTACTACAATATGTGGATGACTTGTTAATAGCAGCCCCCGACTGGGCAGGGTGCCTTGAAGCAACCAGGAAACTTCTCACCACTCTGGGAGAGCTGGGATATCGAGCTAGTGCCAAGAAAGCTCAGATAGCTAAGCCAGAAGTCACATACTTGGGGTATAAGTTGAGAGCTGGGCAGAGGTGGCTCACTGAAGCCATGAAACAGACTATCCTACAGATTCCCCGACCCACAAGACCGAGGCAGATAAGAGAATTTTTAGGAACAGTAGGTTATTGCTGGCTGTGGATTTTAGATTTCGCCACAAAAGCGAAGTCACTCTATGAGCTCAGTAGAGAAGGGTCAGAGTGGGACTGGACTCCAGAGAGGGACTCAGCTTTTAAAGAACTTAAGGAAGCACTCCTTAAAGCCCCAGCATTGACATTACCTGACCCCACTAAACCATTTCATCTGTTTGTCGATGAGAAAAAAGGAATAGCCAAGGGGGTCCTGATACAACAACAGGGGCCATGGAAGAGGCCAGTAGCATACCTCTCAAAGAAATTGGATCTAGTAGCAGCAGGATGGCCCCCTTGCTTGAGAATTATTGCTGCCACCGCTCTGCTAGTTAAAGATGCAGATAAGTTAACCCATGGACAGACTTTGAAAGTAACCACTCCCCATGCCATTGAAGGAGTGCTCAAACAGCCTCCGGGGAGATGGATAACCAATGCCAGATTAACTCATTATCAGAGTCTATTACTTGACACTCCAAGGGTACAATTCTTAGCCCCAACAGTTTTAAACCCCGCCACCCTGCTACCTAACCCTGACCTAGATCAACCTCTGCACGACTGCTCAGAAATACTCGCAGAGGTAAATATGGTGAGAAAGGACTTGCAAGACTGCCCGTTGGAAAACAATGACCTCGTCTGGTTCACGGATGGAAGCAGTTTCGTACAGGATGGACTAAGGTATGCGGGGGCCGCGGTGGTAGACAGCTGGGAGGAAATTATTTGGGCCAATGCTTTATCGCCAGGAACTTCCCCTCAGAAAGCTGAACTTATCGCCCTGGTGAAAGCATTGGAAAGGGCGGAGGGAAAGAGGCTAACAGTGTATACTGACAGTCGGTATGCATATGCGGCTTTTCATATACATGGCGCCATCTACCGGGAGCGTGGGTTCAGAAACACAGAAGGAAGAGAAATAAAGAACCAGACAGAGATCCTTTGCTTGCTGTCAGCTGTGACCCAGCCGCGAATGGTAGCGGTGGTTCACACCCCGGGACATCAGAAAGGACACTCCCCTGAAGCAAGAGGCAACCGAGCAGTGGACCAGGCAGCTAAGAGAGCTGGCCTCCAAACGGTACGAACTTTAGTAACTAACCTACCGTGCCCGCAACTGGAACCCCTGCCCCCTACTCCCAACTACTCTGAACAAGACATACAGTGGGCTGAGAAATCACCACAGATAGAAAAAGATCAGAATGGATGGTATATGGACTTGGAGAGAAAACTGATTCTCCCAGAAGAATTGGGGCAGCATCTTCTTACACACCTCCACCAAGTGACTCACTTAGGGGAACAGAAAATGTTGGAGTTACTGGACAAAGGGCAGGTCCGTATGCACCACCAGAAGCAAGCGGCTCAGAGTGTGGTAGACCAGTGCCGGGCCTGTCAGGTCATGAAAATAGGGAAGAGGAAGAACACACATGCAGGTACGAGGGGGAGGGGGAGGGAGCCAGGTCGTCATTGGGAAATAGATTTCACTGAAGTTAAACCAGGTAAATATGAATATAAATATCTCTTAGTGTTAGTGGATACTTTCTTGGGATGGGTGGAAGCATAACCTACTAAAGGGGAAACAGCAGTAATAGTGGCCAAGAAAATTTTAGAAGAGATAGTACCCAGATATGGAATGCCTAGAACATTAGGATCAGATAATGGACCAGCTTTTGTAAGTAAAGTTATCCAGGGTTTAGCCTCAACTCTGGGGGAAAATTGGGAACTACATTGTGAATATAACCCTCAGAGTTCGGGGCAGGTAGAAAGAATGAACAGAACCCTAAAGGAGACCCTATCTAAATTGGCAATAGAAACTGGCAGAGATTGGGTGACCCTCCTTCCCTTTGCGCTCTACCGGGCTAGGAATACCCCGTACACACTGAATCTAACCCCATTTGAAATAATGTATGGGATGCCACCCCTTATTATTTCCAACCTGGAAAAATGTCCCAATGACTTGTCAAAAGATTTAATTTTGGGGATGAAAACTCTCCAAATAATTCAGAAGGAATTATGGCCCAAACTCTGAGCCATATATGAAAGTCCTTTTATTGGACAGGGAATGGACCATGGAATAGAACTGGGAGACTGGGTATGGGTAAAGAGGCACCAGAAAAAAACACTGGAACTGAGACGGAGAGGACCTTATGTTGTTGTTCTTGTAACCCCCATTGCTGTTAAGGTAGACGGAGTCAGCGCCTGGATACACCACTCCCATATCAGGAGAGCTAACCAGACAGAACAGCAGTCTGCACGAGTGAATTGGAAAGTGTACTCCGATCCTGAAAACCCGCTGAAAGTCAAGTTAACGCAGCACCATGGAGATTAGAGTCCTTCTCATCCTCACCTTAAGCTTCTACTGCCTCGCGATAAGTACCGCGACTCACCAACCCTATAAAGTTACATGGCGAATTCATGATGGACTAACCCATGAAACCTTAAACTCCACCACCCATACCACCCCCCTTAATGTATGGTGGCCTGATTTATTTTTCTCGCTCGCAACACTTACTGACTGTTCCTGGGATGAAGGTTTTATCTGTAAGATGGGGTTTTTTGCATGCCCTGGGTACAAAAGAAATGTCCAGCAGTGCGGGGGGCTCGTTTGGTATTACTGCAAAAGTTGGAGTTGCGTGACTTCTAATGATGGGGAATGGAAGTGGCATGTAAAAGCCCAGGACTATGTAACATTCTCCTTTGCCAAGCCCAGACATACTTATACGTTAGGATAATGTAAGGAATGTGACTGGGTAAAAGTCTCGTTCACTGAACAGAGAAAGAAGGAATTAGCTAAGTGGAAATCCGGGCTTACTTGGGGTCTCCAAATTTGGTATAAAGGATACCCGTCTGGGGTGATAACCATTTTACAGGAAGTAGAGCCATTAGATACCAGGCCAGTAGGTCCAAATGAAGTGTTAAACCCCCTGGGAAAAGCAACCCTACCCCCTACCAGAAAGATGGTGAAAGAATCGAGCACTGTAACCCCTGATGTTACAGTAAGTGTCCCCCATACAACTCCAAGGGTCCAAGCCAATCCTCAGGACATAGACCTCTTTGGAATTTAATGCTAGCAGCCGCCAAACACTTAACCGTACTAGTCTTAACCTGACTCAAGCCTGCTGGCTCTGTTACGATGTAAAACCTCCATTTTATGAAGCAATAGGCATTAATACCTCTTTCAGCTATTCTCATGACCTAAACCCAAAGAATTGCTTCTGGAAAGACCATAAGGTAGGAGTTACTATACAACGTATAACAGGAAAGGGCATATGTGTGGGGAAATCCCCCAATGCTCAAGAGCGTTGCACCTCATATACTGAAATAAACCCGTCCTTTAACTGGATCATTCCCAGGGAAGGGGGTTGGTGGCTTTGCTCAAGAGCTGGACTTTTACCCTGTTTAAACTTGAAAGTACTTAATCAGTCCCCAGATTATTGTGTACTAGTAACGGTTCTACCCCAAATTCTTTACCACCCAGAGGAAGAGATGTATATACACTGAGGCAGAACTAATAGAGTAAAAAGGGAACCAGTAACTGCAGCTTTTACTTTAGACACTCTATTTGGCTTAGCAGGGGCTGGTTTAGGAGTGGCTTCATTAACTTTGCAGAATCAAGGCATGACTTCCCTGAGGGCAGCTATAGACGAAGCCCTTGAAAGAATAGAAGCCTCTATCACACATTTAGAGAAATCTTTAACCTCGCTATCAGAGGTCGTGTTACAGAACCGCTGGGGGCTGGATCTTATATTTCTCCAACAAGGAGGATTGTGTGTGGCTCTAGGGGAAGAGTGTTGTTTTTATGCAGATCATACGGGAGTGGTTCGGGAATCTATGGCCAAGGTACGAGAAGGACTTGCCCTAAGAAAAAAGGAGCATGAAACTCAGGAAGGATTGTTCGAATCTTGGTTTAATAACTCCCTGTGGTTGACTACCTTGGTATCTACTCTCTTAGGACCCCTCATAATCCTTATAATTATATTGACTTTTGGCCCCTGCATTATAAATAAGCTTATATCATTTGTGAAAGACCGAGTTAATACTGTGCAACTTATGGTCCTGAGACAACAATATCAGTCCTTATCTCCTGTGACACGGGATGAAGATTCCTCATATGAGTGACAAGAAAAAGGGGGGAATGTGAGGCCTGAGTCCTAATGGCCTTCAGGTAATTCTTTAACCAGAAGTCTTTAGTGCCAGGGATTCTAACATGTCCCACATCTCAGGGCTTTTATCTCCCCTCCAGATTCCAGTATGTATCAGAGCTTTACCTGGCTCCTGCAAGTCTCCCATGCATCAGGACTTTACATCCTCCCTAGATAATTATTCCCTAACTGGACTTTAGGGCCAGGGATTCCAGCACGTCCCCCCATGTCTCAGAGTTCTGCCCTAAACCCCTTAGCAACAACCAATCATCTGTACCCCTTTGCCCTGGTGCTACTCCACCCTATATTTTTCCTATAAAAATGTAATAGTAAGAGAGCACGGGGTCTTTTGCCCAAGGCGCTGCATCAGTGTAAGCAGGGACCCTACCTCAAGCTAGCAAATAAACTTCTGTTTTGCTTTTGCATTATCATGTTAGTGGTGGCTTCCTCGCATCGACACTCCTTTCCAAACATGGGATCAACAACATCTCAGACAATAAAAAGGAGCTCTAGTGGCATAATGGTTAAGTGCTCAGCTGCTAACTGAAAGGTTTTCATTTTTAACCTACCAGCAGCTCTGTGGGAGAAAAGACCTGGCAATCTCCTCCCATAAAGACTTCAGCCTAGGAAACCATATGTGGCAGTTCTATTCTGTAATATAGGGTCACAATGAGTCAGAGTTGACTTGACAGCACCCAAAGCACGCGCGCACACACACACACACACACACAAAGTTTCATTCAACATTCTCTTGCTAATAGTAATAATAATGGCAATAAAACAATACTAACTCACACTTAAAATGGTGCCAGACATTGTTCTAAAAATTCATGTTTATTAAATGTTTAACTGTCTAACAACTATATAAGGTTGTGTCTCTATTTTATAGATAAACTGAGGCACAGAGGATTTAAGTAACTTGCCTAAGTTCCTATAACTAGAATCCCTTGATCAGGGATTCAAAAACAGGCAGCTTAGCAGGAGAGTTTGTGCCCTTAACCACTACATGCCCCTGTCTCTCCTTATTAAGAGAATTAGAATTTATCCTGACTGTAATGAACTTCATTGTTTAAATGAAACATATAACTAAAGCATAAGAAAATCTGATCTAGAGGATAAAAGAAGATAATATAGGTGAAGAAACAACCCTTGATGCTTAAGTAGGAACTTGACAATCAATGATAATAATTAACATTATTTTTCTCTCTGTGTGTGGCAGTTGGTACCAAGTCAGTACTAAGAAAATCCAGAACAGACATTCTTGTATATATAAATGTGCCCTCTCTCATCTCCAAATCAACTGCAAAGATATTGAAACTCACAAGTCCTTTTCCTATACAACAACCAAAGGATGAGAACGGTTTCCCAAGTCAAAAATGCAGCCAGCCATGAACATATGCAATAGTTTGTTTCCTGTTAGGTGTATTCCTTTGAAGACTGAGCCAAAGATTCAGAGACAAGATTGAGAAACTGAGCCTAAGCTCTATGATCCTCATTATGCCCCTTGTGATATTTGGAGCTGTGTGTCAACTTGGCTGTATGCAGTGGCCTACCTTAAGTCAAGTTGAAGTACCAAACCTGCCTTGGTATAATGTAGAAGGTATCCAGAGGCTTAGGGAAATCGGCCTGTTAGAATGGATTTATCAGATTAGAATTTAGAGCCAGAAATGGATAGTCCAGAAGACACACCTTTCACCAGTACAGTGAGGAATAAATTTGTGAAGGGAGCTCCAGCATCCTTGAAGACTGCTGTAATTGCTATTTTATGTAAACCTGATTTGACAGTGGGTACTTCCCTAATTGAACTAAGACACTTAACTACTATGGGGCTGATTGGACCATGTGGTAGTAGGGGCCAAGTGGCAACAGTTAACTGACAAAGGCAAGGTGGGCGTGGTTACCATAATGGACAGCAGAGTGGGAACACTAAACAGATTAGTCTGACTCGTGTGGAATTATGGCATTGACTACTTGCTCATGGTGTTCCTAGTAGTGAAATACATGGCAAGCCTATTAAATATTTACTTGATCTGTATAGACAGAAGAATTCTAGGTCACATGAACAACAACCTAGATTGAATTGCCAGAATACAGAGTCACCACCTCTCAATCAATTCCCAGACTTGAGTCAGTTTACAGACCCACAACCCCTTGAATGAAGGGGAGGCCAGGTCCCTTTGAGGAAGGACCCCACTACATTGCCAAAAATCTATAATGTGACTCTTTCTTCCAGCCTGCCCCAATGGGATCTGAGGCCTTTTATGAGAGTGACAGTTCATTGTGGAAAAGGAAATAATCAGAATTTTCAGGGATTACTGGACACTGGCTCTGAATTGACACTAATTCCATGAGACCCAAAGCATCATTGTGGCCCACCTGTCAGAGTGGGGGCATATGGAGGTCAAGTTATTGATGAAGTCTTAGCTAAGGTACGTCTCACAGTGGGTCCAGTGGTCCCCCAAACCCACCCATGTAGTGATCTCCCCAGTTCCAGAATGCATATTTGGAATAGATATACTAAGCAATTGGCAAAATTCCCACATTGGGTCTCTGACATGTGGCGTAAGGGCTAGTATGGTAGGAAAAGCCAAGTGGAAGCCATTAGAACTGCCTCTACCTACAAAAATAGTAAATCAAAAGCAATACCACATCCCTGGAGGGGTTGCAGAGATTACTGCCACCATCAAGGACTTGAAGGATGCAGGGGTGGTGATTCCCACCACATCCCCATTTAATTCACCTATTTGGCCTGTGCAAAATGGATGTTGGAGAATGACAGTAGATTATCATAAACTTAATCAGGTGGTGATTCCAATTGCAGCTGCTGTTCCTGATGTGGTTTCAGTGCTTGAGCAAATTAGTACATCTCCTGGTATTTGGTATGCAG